AAACAAATCTATTTGAATCAAATGAAAGTCAAATGCTTTCTACAAAGCTAATTGAATCAATTGAAAGTTAAACACAATCAAACAAAGCTAAATTGAATCAAATGCTAGTCAAACACATTCAAACAAAGCATTTTGAATCAATTGAAAGTCAAATGCTTACAACAAAGCTAATTGAATAAAATGAAAGTCAAATGCATTATACAAAGCTAATTGAATCAAATAAAGGTCAAACACATTCAAACAAAGCTTTTTGAATCAAGTGAAAGTCAAACGCATTCAACAAAGCTAATTGAATCAAATGAAAATCAAATGCATTCTACAAAGCTAATTGAATCAAATGAAAGTCAAATAAATTCAAACAATGCTAATTGAATCAAATGAAAGTCTAATGCATTCTAAAAAGCTAATTATATCAAATGAAAGTCAAACACAATCAAACAAAGCTTTTTAAATCAAATAAAAGTCAAATGCTTTCAACAAAGCTAATTGAATCAAATGAAAGTCAAATGCATTCTACAAAGCTAATTGAATCAAATGAAAGTCAAACACATTCAAACAAAGCTTTTTGAATCATATGAAAGTCAAACACATTCAACAATGCTAATTGAATCTAATGAAAGTCAAATGCATTCTACAAAGCTAATTGAATCAAATAAAAGTCAAACACATTCAACCAAAGCTTTTTGAATCAAATGAAAGTTAAACGCATTCAACAAAGCTAATTGAATCAAATGAAAGTCAAATGCTTTCTAAATAGCTAATTGAATCAAATGAAAGTCAATGCATTTACAAAGCTATTTGAATCAAATGAAACTCAAACACAATCAATCAAAGCTTTTTGAAACAAATGAAAGTCAAATACATTCAACAAAGCAAATTGAATCAAATGAATGTCAAATGCAAAGCTAATTGAATCAAAAGAATGTTAAACACAATCAAACAAAGCTAATTGAATCAAATGAAAATCAAACACATTCAAACAAAGCTTTTTGAATCAAATTAAAGTCAAATGCATTCAAGGACGCTATTTGAATCAAAGGAAAGTCAAATGAATCAAACAAAGCTAATTGAATCAAACGAAAGTCAAACACAATTAAACAAAGTTAATTGAATCAAATGCTAGTCAAACACAATTAAACAAAGCTTTTTGAATCAAATGAATGTCAAATCCTTTCAACAAAGCTAATTAACTCAAATGAAAGTCAAATGCATTCTACAAAGCTAATAGAATCAAATAAAAGTTAACACATTGAAATAAAGCTTTTTGAATCAAATGAAAGTCAAATGCATTCAACAATGCTAATTGAATCAAATGAAAGTCAAATGCAAACTACAAAGCTAATTGATTCAAAAGAAAGTTAAACACAATCAAACAAAGCTAATTGAATCAAATTAAAGTCAAACACATTCAAACAAAGCTTTTTGAATCATATTAAAGTCAAACACATTCAACAAAGCTAATTAAATCAAATGAAAGTCAAATGCATTCTATAAAGCTAATTAAATCAAATGAAAGTCTATTGCATTCTACAAAGCTAATTGAATCAAATTAAAGTCAATTACATTCAAACAAAGCTTTTTTAATCAAATGAAAGTAAAATGCATTCAAACAAATCTATTTGAATCAAATGAAAGTCAAATGCATTCTACAAAGCTAATTGAATCAATTGAAAGTTAAACACAATCAAACAAAGCTAAATTGAATCAAATGCTAGTCAAACACATTCAAACAAAGCTTTTTGAATCAAATGAAAGCCAAACCCATTCAACAAAGCTAATTGAATCAAATGAAAGTCAAATGCATTCTACAAAGCTAATTGAATCAAAAGAAAGTCAAACACATTCAAACAAATCTTTTTGAATCAAATGAAAGTCAAACACATTCAACAAAGCTAATTGAATCTTAAGAAAGTCAAATGCATTCTACAAAGCTAATTGAATCAAATGAAAGTCAAACACATTCAACCAAAGCTTTTTGAATCAAATGAAAGTTAAACGCATTCAACAAAGCTAATTGAATCAAATGAAAGTCAAATGCATTCTAAATAGCTAAATGATTCAAATGAATGTCAAACACATTCAAACAAAGCTTCTTGAATCAAATGAAAGTCAAATGCTTTCAACAAAGCTAATTGAATCAAATGAAAGTCAAATGCATTATACAAAGCTAATTGAATCAAATGAAAGTCAAACACATTCAAACAAAGCTTTTTGAATCAAGTGAATGTCAAACGCATTCAACAAAGCTAATTGAATCAAATGAAAATCAAATGCATTCTACAAAGCTAATTGAATCAAATGAAAGTCAAATAAATTCAAACAAAGCTAATTGAATCAAATGAAAGTCTAATGTATTCTACAAAGCTAATTATATCAAATGAAAGTCAAACACAATCAAACAAAGCTTTTTAAATAAAATGAAAGTCAAATGCTTTCAACAAAGCTAATTGAATCAAATGAAAGTCAAATGCATTCTACCAAAGCTTTTTGAATCAAATGAAAGCTAAACGCATTCAACAAAGCTAATTGAATCAAATAAAAGTCAAATGCTTTCTAAATAGCTAATTGAATCAAATGAAAGTCAATGCATTTACAAAGCTATTTGAATCAAATGAAACTCAAACACAATCAATCAAATCTTTTTGAAACAAATGAAAGTCAAATACATTCAACAAAGCAAATTGAATCAAATGAAAGTCAAATGCATTCTGCAAAGCTAATTGAATCAAAAGAAAGTTAAACACAGTCAAACAAAGCTAATTGAATCAAATGAAAATCAAACACATTCAAACAAAGCATTTTGAATCAAATTAAAGTCAAATGCATTCAAGGACGCTATTTGAATCAAAGGAAAGTCAAATGAATCAAACAAAGTTAATTGAATCAAATGAAAGTTAAACACAATCAAAAAAAGTTAATTGAATCAAATGCTAGTCAAACACAATTAAACAAAGCTTTTTGAATCAAATGAATGTCAAATCCTTTCAACAAAGCTAATTGAATCAATAGAAAGTCAAATGCATTCTACAAAGCTAATAGAATCAAATAAAAGTTAACACATTGAAATAAAGCTTTTTGAATCAAATGAAACTCAAATGCATTCAACAATGCTAATTGAATCAAATGAAAGTCAAATGCAAACTACAAAGCTAATTGAATCAAAAGAAAGTTAAACACAATCAAACAAAGCTAATTGAATCAAATTAAAGTCAAACACATTCAAACAAAGCTTTTTGAATCATATTAAAGTCAAACACATTCAACAAAGCTAATTAAATCAAATGAAAGTCAAATGCATTCTACAAAGCTAATTGAATCAAATGAAAGTCTAATGCATTCTACAAAGCTAATTGAATCAAATGAAAGTCAATTACATTCAAACAAAGCTTTTTTAATCAAATGAAAGTAAAATGCATTCAAACAAATCTATTTGAATCAAATGAAAGTCAAATGCTTTCTACAAAGCTAATTGAATCAATTGAAAGTTAAACACAATCAAACAAAGCTAAATTGAATCAAATGCTAGTCAAACACATTCAAACAATGCTTTTTGAATCAAATGAAAGTCAAACGCATTCAACAAAGCTAATTGAATCAAATGAAAGTCAAATGCATTCTACAAAGCTAATTGAATCAAAAGAAAGTCAAACACATTCAAACAAATCTTTTTGAATCAAATGAAAGTCAAACACATTCAACAAAGCTAATTGAATCTAAAGAAAGTCAAATGCATTCTACAAAGCTAATTGAATTAAATGAATGTCAAACACATTCAACCAAAGTGACCAAAGTGGCCAAGGTGGCCAAGGTTCGGATATTCCAGTCCAAGAGTTGAACGTTAGGGAATTGATTTTGTCCAAGACTTTCTTCGATGCTGCTCCTATGGATTTTGGGTGTGCATGGTCCATATAATTCCTCAACTGGCTGCACCATATTGAGCGTGACTAATTACCTCAATAATGGGGGAATGTAGGCTGATTTAATGTATACTTTAAGGAGAGTTTCAAGCTGGTTTAACTTCGTAATAAAGGAGCTTGAATGAAGGCTTAAATGGGAGGTTATAAAGGCGCATTTCAAGGCTGCTTTGGAGGAGGAATTTTGACAGCATGATTGGAGTCAATTTGTTGAACGTTTGGGAGTTATTCTTCCCTTGTTTTAAGCTTTCTTAATTAGAGTAATAATTAGTTGTAATAGGGATTAAGTTGGACGGTTATGAGCCACTTAATCTACCCTTATCTTCAGTTTTGTTATTTCTGATTTATTGCTTTTTTTAGCTAAGTGTAGTGGCAACTAAATGATGTACTAAAGCTATAAATAGCATGCTAATGATCAATAAAAAGATGGTCCAGAAATTTGCAAGAAACACACGAGTGTATTATCCAAATTTGACTTGAGCTAGTCAGGTTTGATTTTCCAAACTTGAGAGTTATCTCAATTTGAAGAGTTTGTGTTTTAGTGAGAGTTCCTAAGACTTAAACTGGTAGTTGTCGAATAGGTGAGAGTTCCCTAATCACTACTACGCCCAAACAAGTGAGTGAGTGTTCCTCATTGTTATATCCTCAAGGTTAAGGGTGAGAGTTCCCCTAATCCTTCTTAGTTACTCTACATTGATACTTCTAATTCAACTAAACACAACACGCATTCCAGTTCGTTTGTAAACAAGTTTCTCACCTTGCTTACACATCATTTGGCGCGTCAGGTAGGGGGAGAGTTTTCTTAAATTCTTCCAAACGGGTCGAATACCTACACACCATGGGAGAAAATCAAGACTTGAGGACAGCTTTGGAAGCTCTTAATCGATCCATTGCTAGTCAAGAGAGGTTGGCCGAAACCAACGCCAATCTACAAGGGAACCTTGCTGCCTTGATGGCAAGGCTCATGAACGAGCATGATAGGAGAGATCAAGGCGAAGACCCTCCACCTAGGAGGGAAGATAGGAGTCTCAAAGTGGACGTCCCTTTGATGGGACACTTGATCCAGAAAAGTACTTGGAATGGGAGAAATCCTTGGAGAGGTATTTCGATTATAAGGACATTCAAGAGGAGTTCCAAAAATACAAGATAGCCAAGGTGAAGTTAAAAGGCTATGGAGATAACTGGCTACAAGGAGAGCAAAGGGGACGTACTCTTAGGGGTAAGGCATCCATTTCTACTTGGAGCAAGTTAAAGAAAAGGATGAGGGATCGCTTTATTCCTCACAATTTCAAACAAAGCCAATATGTGAAGTGGAGCACTTTGCAACAAAATGGAGAATCGGTTGAGGACTACATCAAAGAGTTTGACAGACTTTCTATCGTGTGTGAAATCACGGAGAATGAAGAACTCAAGATGGGACGTTTCGTGGCTGGGTTGGATCAAGAGTTGCAAGACAAACTTGAAGGTTACACCAATTTAACCTTTGCTGAAGCTTGCAAATTTGTGATCAAGTTTGATTCAAAAAGGAAGAAGAAAAAGCCGATTGTCACCCCTCAAGTGGCACGAAGACCAACCTTCCCTGTCAAGGATGGTTCTTCTTTTGTCAAAGCCAACGATCCACCTAAGAAGGACAAGAAAGATTTCAAAATGAGTGACATTGTTTGTTACAAGTGCGGAGGAAGGGGCCATTTTAATAAGGATTGTCCAAATTCCAGAGCTTTGACCATGCAAGAGGTAAAGCTTATTGCTAATCAAACTATCAATTGGGAGGATTTCGAGGTTGAAGAAGTGGAGGACGTGAATTCTAATGAAGGGGACGAGGAGGAAGAGCAATGTTTCCCCGAAGAAGAGACCAAAACAAATCTGGTTGTGAGAAGGGCGTTGCAAGCTCGTGTTGACGAACCCTTGGCACCGCAAAGGCAACATATTTTCATTACCAAGTGCAAGATTAAAGGCGAGGTATGTGATTTAATTGTTGATGGTGGTAGTGAGGCAAACACAGTTTCCAAAACCATGATAGCTAGACTTGGTCTTACAACCACAAATCACCCACATCCTTATAAGTTGAGTTGGTTGGACTCTAATTCGAGTACGGGGGTTAGGAAACAATGCATGGTTAATTTTTCTATTGGGTCTTATCATGATACTCAACTGTGTGATGTTGTGTCTATGGATGCTTGTCACATTTTGCTTGGTAGACCTTGGCAAACTGATCGAAAATCTCAACATGATGGGTACCATAACACTTACACTATAACTCACCAAGGAAAACAAAAAAAATTGCACCCTTTACCACCCCCATGGTTTTCACAAAATCCTAAACAATCAAAGGAGGTGTCATTGCTTACCCTTAAGGAATTTGAAAGGGAAATTAATGGTGAGGAGGAATTATACTTTTTGTACTCTAAAGAGATCCACGAAAATTTTGTGAGTCAAAATCCTTAATTAGCTCAGTTGATTAAGGATTTTGAGGATGTTTTTCCCGATGAGTTACCGAAAGAGTTACCACCTTTGAGGGGAATTGAACATCAAATTGACCTCATTACGGGTGCTTCTTTGCCTAACAAACCTGCCTATAGGTGTAATCCCTTGGAAACTAAGGAATTGCAACGACAAATTGAGGAGTTGATGAGTATGGGGTATGTACGTGAGTCTATGAGTCCGTGTGCTGTGCCTGCTCTTTTGGTCCCAAAAAAGGATGGTACATGGCGCATGTGTATTGATAGTAGGGTTGTTAACAATATTACTATCAAGTATAGGTTTCCAATTCCAAGACTAGATGACATGCTTGATGAACTGAGTGGTTCGAAGTGGTTTTCAAAAGTGGATTTGAGGAGTGGTTACCATCAAATTCGGATGAGGAAAGGAGATGAATGGAAGACCGCTTTCAAAACCAAGCACGGCTTGTATGAGTGGCTCGTGATGCCATTTGGACTCACCAACGCACCTAGCACTTTCATGAGGTTGATGAACGAGGTGTTGCGGCCTTTCCTTGGGAAATTCGTGGTGGTGTACCTTGATGATATTCTTATTTATAGCAAAGATGGGGATGAACATTTGATACATTTATTTAAAGTTTTACGGTTTTGAGAGAACAAAAATTGTATGGAAAACTTGAAAAATGTAATTTTATGCTATATGAGGTCACTTTTCTTGGTTACATTGTTTCAGGAGAAGGTGTGAAAGTTGATCCAAGCAAGATTGAGGCTATTCAATCATGGCCTAGTCCAAAGACACTCACGGAGGTCCGTTCTTTCCATGGATTAGCTTCCTTTTATAGGAGGTTCATTCGTAATTTCAGCACTCTCATGACCCCTATCACCGAGTGCACAAAGAAGGGCTCATTTGAGTGGACTCCTCAAGCTCAAAAGGCATTTGAAGTGATCAAAGAAAAAAATGTGCAATACACCCATCCTAGCACTTCCAGATTTTTCAAAGCCATTTGAAGTTGAGTGTGACGCAAGTGGAAAGGGGATTGGTCCCGTGTTGATTCAAGAAGGGCGTCCTATAGCTTACTTTAGTGAGAAATTGAGCCAAGGCAAGCTGAATTATTCCACCTATGATAAAGAGTTCTATGCAATGGTGCGAGCTTTAAATCATTGGTCGCATTACTTGAGACCACAACCATTCATACTTCATTCTGACCATGAATCTTTGAGGTTCATCCATGGCCAAAAGAAGTTGAATTCGAGACATGCAAAGTGGGTGGAATTCTTGCAAACATTTAACTTTTCATCAAAGTACAAGAGTGGAAAGGCAAATGTTGTTGCGGATGCCTTATCTCGAAGGCATACTTTACTTGGAGTCGTTGAGGCGAAAGTCCTTGGGTTCGAATTAATCAAAGAATACTACAAGGAAGATGATGACTTCAAGGTCATTTTGGAGAAATGCGTGAATGGTAGTTATGAATTATTTTCCTTACAAAATGATTTTTTTTTAAGGGAAATAGGTTATGCATTCCCAAATGTCCAATTCGAAGCTTGTTGATTCATGAAGCGCATGGGGGAGGTTTGGCAGGCCATTTCGGAGTTCAAAAGACTATGGAGCTTCTTCAAGCTCACTTTTATTGGCCTAGTATGCTACCCACTGTGCACCGTGTTGTGGTACGTTGCTCTACTTGTCAAAGGGCAAAGATGGTGTTTCACAAAGGTCTTTAAAAGCCATTGCCAATTCCGGAGAGACCTTGGGAAGACATAAGCATGGATTTCATTGTGGCTTTACCTAGAACTCAAAGAGGTAAGGACTCAATCATGGTGGTAGTTGATCGTTTTTCAAAAATGGCTCACTTTGTCCCTTGTCATAAAACCGAAGATGCTGCGAAGGTGGCGAAATTATATTTTGATGGGGTTGTTCGTTTCCATGGGATCCCACGCACCATTGTTTCAGATCGAGATACAAAGTTCCAAAGTCATTTTTGGAAGTCCTTGTGGCGTCTTATGGGAACCAAGTGACTGTTTTCTACCTCCCATCACCCCCAAACCGATGGCCAAACCGAGGTGGTAAATAGGGTACTAGGTTCTTTGCTTAGGACCTTGGTTAGTAAAAGCACCAAAGATTGGGATGTCAAACTCGCTCATGCCGAGTTTGCTTACAATAGAACTCCTAGCACTACTACGAAGTATTCTCCTTTTGAAGTAGTCTATGGTTCTAATCCTTATGTTCCAATTGATCTCATAGCATTGCCTCGAGACAAGTTCGTGCATGGAGGTGCCAAGGAACAAGCCGAGTTCATGGTGAAAATTCACAAGGAAGTAAGGAAGAACATCGAGAAGGCTAATGAAATCTATAAGAAGCAAGCCAACAAGAGAGTCAAAAACGTGAGAAGTTTTGAAGTTGGTGACTTAATGTGGATCTACATGAGGAAGGAAAGGTTTCCCAATCAAAGGAAGAACAAACTCATGCCACGAGCTGAAGGCCCATTTGAGATAGTGGAAAAGATCAATGACAATGCCTACAAGGTAGATTTAGGAGGAAAGTATGGCGTCTCAAGCACATTCAATGTGGGGGATCTAGCACCGTACTATAATGATGAAGAATTGAGGGCAATTCCCTTTGAAGAAGGAGAGGATGACCAAAGTGGCCAAGGTTCGGATATTCCAGTCCAAGAGTTGAGCGTTAGGGAATTGATTTTGTCCAAGACTTTCTTCGATGCTGCTCCTATGGATTTTGGTGTGCATGGTCCATATAATTCCTCAACTGGCTGCACCATATTGAGCGTGACTAATTACCTCAATAATGGGGGAATGTAGGCTGATTTAATGCATACTTTAAGGAGAGTTTCAAGCTGGTTTAACTTCGTAATAAAGGAGCTTGAATGAAGGCTTAAATGGGAGGTTACAAAGGCGCATTTCAAGGCTGCTTTGGAGGACGAATTTGGACAGCATGATTGGAGTCAATTTGCTGAACGTTTGGGAGTTATTCTTCCCTTGTTTTAAGCTTTCTTAATTAGAGTAATAATTAGTTGTAATGGGGATTAAGTTGGACGGTTTGTGTTTTAGTGAGAGTTCCTAAGACTTAAACTGGTAGTTGTCGAATAGGTGAGAGTTCCCTAATTACTACTACGCCCAAACAAGTGAGTGAGTGTTTCTCATTGTTATATCCTCAAGGTTAAGGGTGAGAGTTCCCCTAATCCTTCTTAGTTACTCTACATTGATACTTCTAATTCAACTAAACACAACACGCATTCCAGTTCGTTTGTAAACAAGTTTCTCACCTTGCTTACACATCACAAAGCTTTTTGAATCAAATGAAAGTCAAACGCATTCAACAAAGCTAATTGAATCAAATGAAAGTCAAATGCATTCTAAATAGCTAAATGATTCAAATGAATGTCAAACACATTCAAACAAAGCTTCTTGAATCAAATGAAAGTCAAATGCTTTCAACAAAGCGAATTGAATCAAATGAAAGTCAAATGCATTCAACCAAAGCTTTTTGAATCAAATGAAAGTCAGACGCATTCAACAAAGCTAATTGAATCAAATGAAAGTCAAATGCATTCTAAATAGCCGAATGATTCAAATGAATGTCAAACACATTCAAACAAAGCTTCTTGAATCAAAAGAAAGTCAAATGCTTTCAACAAAGCGATTTGAATCAAATGAAAGTCAAATGCATTATACAAAGCTAATTGAATCAAATGAAAGTCAAACACATTCAAACAAAGCTTTTTTAATCAAGTGAAAGTCAAACGCATTCAACAAAGCTAATTGAATCAAATGAAAATCAAATGCATTCTACAAAGCTAATTGAATCAAATGAAAGTCAAATAAATTCAAACAAAGCTAATTAAATCAAATGAAAGTCTAATGCATTCTACAAAGCTAATTATATCAAATGAAAGTCAAACTCAATCAAACAAAGCTTTTTAAATCAAATGAAAGTCACATGCTTTCAACAAAGCTAATTGAATCAAATGAAAGTCAAATGCATTCTACCAAAGCTTTTTGAATCAAATGAAAGTTAAACGCATTCAACAAAGCTAATTGAATCAAATGAAAGTCAAATGCTTTCTAAATAGCTAATTGAATCAAATGAAAGTCAATGCATTTACAAAGCTATTTGAATCAAATGAAACTCAAACACAATCAATCAAAGCTTTTTGAAACAAATGAAAGTCAAATACATTCAACAAAGCAAATTGAATCAAATGAAAGTCAAATGCATTCTGCAAAGCTAATTAAATCAAAAGAAAGTTAAACACAATCAAACAAAGCTAATTGAATCAAATGAAAGTCAATTACATTCAATCAAAGCTTTTATAATCAGATGAAAGTCAAACGCATTCAACAAAGCTAATTGAATCAAATGAAAGTCAAATGCATTCTACAAAGCTAATAGAATCAAATAAAAGTAAACACATTGAATTAAAGCTTTTTGAATCAAATGAAAGTCAAATGCATTCAACAATGCTAATTGAATCAAATGAAAGTCAAATACAAACTACAAAGCTAATTGAATCAAAAGAACGTTAAACACAATCAAACAAAGCTAATTGAATCAAATTAAAGTCAAACACATTCAAACAAAGCTTTTTGAATCATATTAAAGTCAAACACATTCAACAAAGCTAATTAAATCAAATGAAAGTCAAATGCATTCTACAAAGCAAATTGAATCAAATGAATGTCTAATGCATTCTTCAAAGCTAATTGAATCAAATGAAAGTCAATTACATTCAAACAAAGCTTTTTAATCAAATGAAAGTAAAATGCATTCAAACAAATCTATTTGAATCAAATGAAAGTCAAATGCATTCTACAAAGCTAATTGAATCAATTGAAAGTTAAACACAATCAAACAAAGCTAAATTGAATCAAATGCTAGTCAAACACATTCAAACAAAGCTTTTTGAATCAAATGAAAGTCAAATGCATTCAACAAAGCTAATTGAATCAAATGAAAGTCAAATGCATTCTACAAAGCTAATTGAATCAAAAGAAAGTCAAACACATTCAAACAAATCTTTTTGAATCAAATCAAAGTCAAACACATTCAACAAAGCTAATTGAATCTAAAGAAAGTCAAATGCATTCTACAAAGCTAATTGAATCAAATGAAAGTCAAACACATTCAACCAAAGCTTTTTGAATCAAATGAAAGTCAAACGCATTCAACAAAGCTAATTGAATCAAATGAAAGTCAAATGCATTTTAAATAGCTAAATGATTCAAATGAATGTCAAACACATTCAAACAAAGCTTCTTGAATCAAATGAAAGTCAAATGCTTTCAACAAAGCTAATTGAATCAAATGAAAGTAAAATGCATTCAACCAAAGCTTTTTGAATCAAATGAAAGTCAGACGCATTCAACAAAGCTAATTGAATCAAATGAAAGTCAAATGCATTCTAAATAGCTAAATGATTCAAATGAATGTCAAACACATTCAAACAAAGCTTATTGAATCAAATGAAAGTCAAATGCTTTCAACAAAGCTAATTGAATCAAATGAAAGTCAAATGCATTATACAAAGCTAATTGAATCAAATGAAAGTCAAACACATTCAAACAAAGCTTTTTGAATCAAGTGAAAGTCAAACGCATTCAACAAAGCTAATTGAATCAAATGAAAATCAAATGCATTCTACA